TTGCGTGTATTTTGTAAAGTAAGCCGTGTGTGATGCAACATATTTATGCATAAGACCCGGCTTCATGATTTATGTCATCACATCAAAGTTTTAATGAAATATATATGTATATATATATAAATTTGTTTACTAAATAATATTGATTATATTATCTCCTAAGTTTAATTATAGTAGAATTATCTTAAAAGAGTGAATCCATACTTAGTAAGTTCTGTTTTGAAAGATGTTTTGAAGTAACTTGAATGTTAAAAATGTTTAAAGGGGACTGGAATTAAATCATGAATAACAAAATTTCAGTTGTAAAAGGAATAAATTAAAGGCAAGAATTAAATTAAATGCATGTAATTATTGTCATTGATCGGGAATTAGTTGACTTTTCAAGGGGAACAAACCAACTCCCGTTCAATGAACAATAATTAAGAAATAAATACGAAGGTGTTTCATCCTTTACTCGAGCAATAAGCGCGAAGCCAAACCGGCAATTCAAGTCCAGGCCAAATATTTCCGTGAATAGAAGGGATTAAGAACCAATGCTGATATCCAAAGAAACTCATTCCTATTAAGCATTTTAGCTAATTCAATTTTGAGTGAGAAAGCAACTGCTGCAGTAATAATTGATAATCGCTCGAGTAACTGTCCCCGGACACCCTCGTGTTTACGCATATTTAGTTCAATATTATTTGTAAAAATTAAACATTGGAAATTGTCATATAAAATAGAATTCGAAGTAGTTGAAATAAACATTAGAAAATTACAAAATATAAGAAAAATAATAATGCAAACTTTTTGTAAAAACAATTCAAAAAATAAAAAATAAATTTTTTTTAAAAAATATATAATAAGAAAAGTGAATGTACATGATGATATAAAGGCCAGAAAAGTATTAATTAACTTACGTTCTTTCTAGTTGGGAGTGGGCAAAGTGTTTTCTTCGCGTCTGACCCAGAAGGGTAGTGTTTCCGAAAATTCTTTAGCGGCAGCGGGGGCTATGAATATATATATATGTATAGATATATAGATAGATAGATATAGATGTGTGTATATATGCATGTATGTATGTGTATATGTGTGTATATATGCATGTATATATGTATGTGTATATGTGTGCGTGTTCTGTATTTCATTAAAATAGAAAAGGCCATAAAAATCACAAGGAATTTCATCTTTTATTTATACGCACTGATCTCCCGATTAATCCTGTTAATTAATTCGCAGATGATTTTGAAACATTCCCTGAAATTTGTAAAAGAGGTAACTATTCGGTGGCTTTCAACGGAATGTACAATTTAAGATATATTTTAATTATAATAGTGACATTTCTTCCAAAATTTGATGTCCTCCAGCAGGGCTGGTACTCAGTCAGGCAATACGACGAATGCTCCTCAAAACCCTTAGAAGTACTAGCCTTACTGCAAATTATAATCTAAATATTAAATATCCGATTCCTATATTAATTTAGCACTTTGTCCAAATATTTCAATAAAGCCAATGTTGCATTTTCATCTTCATTTTGATCCTGTTCTTCTATTGGCCGCTCTCCTTAATTTATGGAATTCATATGACAACCAATTCCATTGCACCCTACAGTTTTCTCCTCTGTCTTCTCCTGAAATTTCCCGCACATATAAAATGCATTAATATATTAGCTATAAATTACAAACTCCTCCTATCTGACTTGCATTTCAGATTAAAAACATTGTATCGTGAAAAGTGCTAAGGAAGTACAAATACGATAATTCTTAGAATTCTGTTCAACTAATAACGCTGAAGAAATATTGCACTCTGAATAAAAGCGTTACATCCACAAAATTCCAATTGAAAGGTAACCGTCATTTAGTGTATGGTAAAACACTCATGCTCTTATCTGCTGTCAACTAGAACAGGGGTTCCGAACCGCTTTTTCTGTCGCGTACACCCCCTTTCGCCATTTCTAAAAGATTCGAAGAATAGGTTTTCCATTTGCTAGCTGACCGTGCTATCGACTTACACCACATAAATTACTGTTACGTTGGGTTATTCTACATTGGATATATCAACCACTCGCCTTGGTAACTGTTGGCACAGGGACAAACGTAAGGTTTCTAATCTGTCTTTCAAGCATCTAGCGCAAAATTTTTTTAGAGCGTTACAATTTTGCAAAGCATAAGATTTTTACTTTAAAATTTAGTTTGTCTGTAACTATTTAACAACCTGAGCTATTTAAAAAGAATAAACGCATTTGTTAATGGTTAATCTTTATTTTATTAGGAATTTATTTTTATTTCTTGATAATGCATCTAATTAAATCGTACGGGAAAGAATGCTTCGACGAGCAAAACTGAATAAAAAAACAGTATATGTACATAGATTTAATTTTAGAATAAGTACTTTCGGCGATTGAATACTGTCGCCGTTTTAGTTGCAGTTTAAGTAATTTACAACTGAAGAAATCAATGAGAGACTTCAGTTGCTGAAAGCTGAAATGAAAATGATAAATTCTTCTGCCACTTACAATATATAGTTCTGTTTGAAATTTTACCAGTTTTTTACATAAATGTGTACCGCTGTTCCATTTCATTTACTTTCTCCGATGGCAAATTAGTTTTTTTTTTTTTAATTTTTTATTTTTATTATTTATTTATTTATTTTTTTTTTATTTCTACTCTCACATCGTTTTTAGCATTCTTAAAAATATCATTTCTGATGTCTTTTTTGTGCTTCCTTTCTTTTTAAACTCACTTTCTGGCCTCGTATAACGAAATGATTTTATGTTTTTGCAAAAACACGAACACATGTTGTATGTATATATCTTTAGACACTTAGTTAAAAAATCTTTCTGTCTTGAGATAAATTTGTAACGTAGACAAGTGGCCAGATAAATAGGCTGCTTTAAAAGAAAAAAGAAAAGAAAATTATATCATTTCAACAATTAATTCTGTGTTCCCAGTGACTCCGAAAATGAAAGAATGAATGATCTTTATCGAAGGATATCGAGAAATTAAGGCATCGCAGCATCTGCTAGTTAAAAATAATGAAAGGAGGGGAAATTTTCTTATTAAAGTTGTCCCATCGTAAAACTCATTCACAAAACAAGATGTTAGTAACGCTGCTCTAGAAAATTTGCATTTTATAGCTAAATTAAATAATGGATTCTGTAAGTGAGGCATGTAAAATTTTTATGATCTGCAGATAAAAATTAAGCCCCTTAATGGGATTAAAATATAAGATTGATTGCTGCCGAAGAAAGAATGATCATAAATTCTTTCCTAATTACACTAATCTTTCTTTCTGGCTAAAAAAAATGTTGTTATTTCATTTTCGTTTTTTAAAATTTATTTCGAAGAAGACGCGAGCCACTTGCATTTCAGGTGCAATTTGTATTTTAAGACAGATTAAATTTTTAAAAAAAACCATAAGAGAAAATGAATTCGTTATTTAACCATTAAAATTTTACTGAGCTCGTGATTTCATTTGATTGCTTAGTTTACAGTTTATCTTCTTCTTTTTAATCAAATTATAAGCATAAATATTCACTCAGTATGATAATGAGTCAATATAAAAGCAAATGCAGTTTCATGTTCATTAAATACAAAAGTAGATAAGTTTAAAAATGTCCGATATCGATTTACAAGGAGGGGGAAAATTTCGAATTATTTGATAAGTGTTGGTAACTACACAAGATTATTCATAAGTCCGATGCATATTTTTAAAAATACATAACAAATAAAATACGGGACCGATGTTAAATTTTATTGCACTCAGATAGCAGTAAACTCATTAAGGTATTTTAGTATGTTTCACAAAGGTTCAATTTTTTCGCCTCCACTTGTACCGTAGACATCTGTTCGTCACTGAGAAGATTTACTTAGACGTACTCGAAAGCTGCTTCTACCATAGATCAAGGGATCTCAACCAACCTCTCCCCCGCCAGGCAGAATTTCATAGTTTCAAGGAGGAATGCGTCAGCTTTATTTACCTATTAAGTATATGGTTTTATTTTAGGAAAATAAAAAATACTTTTATTCGAATTTAGATATTTATTAACATTTTCCGTACTTTTTCTTGTTTAATTGTTAAAGCATATTAAAAGTAATCGAAATTTAAATAAATGCATTTTTCAAGTTTTGGAATAGGGGGAATTGATCGTCTAGCAGTAATGAAAGGGGTGCGTGGAGCAAGAAAGGCTGAGAACCCTTGCCATAGATGAATGAAAGCGGTGAAAATTATCTCTTATAGTAAAACGCGTTAATGCAATAGAGACCAAAGTCCCCTAATTAAATCCCTTGTTATAACCAAAACTACCATAAACAAAAGACTCACTTGGCCTTTAGTTTTAATTAACAAAACACAATTAAGATAAAACATTACAATTAAGGGCGTTATAATTATACATTTAAGTTACAAAGTAAATCTCGGAGAACACCATGATTCCCGTACATCGACTGAAGGTTAATATCTTTTTACGCCCGTGTTTCTTCCGGCGGCTGCTAGGTGGCGCTCAATGAGCCGTGGGGTTACATTGTGATTTTTTCATATTGAGCCTTAAATGTACCTCCACTCCCAGGTAATATCTGGGATCTTCACGACTGCATCACCAATGTTATGTTCTAGTCGATCATAATAATACTACCACTCGTGTAGATAGAAAAGGATTATTGCGTAGATATCTACCATCTACGGGTTATTGTGTGGATGAACAAAGGTCGCTGTGTTTATGACATATATAAAAATTGTTTCAATACGAAATTGGATACCGGATGCTTTGTTTATTTGTTACGAACTTTTAAAATGCTTCATGGAATTATGGTTAACGGTATTAGTTTTTAAAATTAAAACGTAAATAAAATAGACGATCATCCAATTTTCCAAACGATCCTCGGCTTCTACTGAAGTTTTTTCCTTAGTTCCGATTGAAATCTTATTCATTTTTTTACCCTCTATTTCATTTCATTTATTTTATGCGATATCACTTTAATTTTTAATTATATTTGTTTCATTTTTATTTTTATTTCGTTTTTCAGGCTTTTTACAAACAACATTTCTGATGTTTTTTCTCGCTTTCATCTATCTTTAGACTTACATGTTGGCCTCATATAACGAATGGACATATGTTAGTTCAAAGAAACAGAAGGTATGTTTTATACATATCTTTAGGCAGAAAGGTCAGGAAAACTTTCTATGTTTTAAAAATGGTCTTTTAGAAAAACGACCACCTAGTATATTGATTGCTTAGTGAAATGGTCCTAAAGAGTACATTGCATAAGTATGCAGAATACTACTGACGTAATGGCAGAAACGTTGCTATATAAAACTGAAATTAAAATTAGATACTTACGAATTTAGATACCTGTTACTTGAGTATATATGACAATGCATAAATGAAAGAAATTTCCAACAGCATTTATTCATTACGAGGAAACTTTTATCATAAAGGAAAAACAATAAGCTTCTCAAAGCAGCTTTTAATTTGATGGATTTAATAAAAGCCAGAAACATATAAAACATTTAGTAATTAAAATTTTAAAACGATATTTTTCAGAAGGTGTATTTGTAGCAGTCAGCAGTCAGTTAAAGAATTACGTATTCAGTTACATTCATTAAACATAATATTATTTCAAATAACATAAAAATGCTTATATTAGCATCGTAAAATTATTTGCAGCATGTGTTCATCTTTTGAGAAAAGAATTTTAAGAAATTAGCATTTAATTATTGAGTAAATGTTAGTACATGTCTATTCATTTTTGATGACTCATTGTTTGGTAGTCAAGTTTGATAATCATTAGTCAAAGGTACTCGGTGTCAACTAGTGCACTTGATTCTTGCTTTCAGATCCACAATAGCATAGTTTTTCCTCTTAAATAAAAGGCAGATAGCCCTCGAATGCTTTGCCGTAATCTAATAAACCAACTAACCAACCTCTTAAATAAAATAAGATAATCAAATACTTTCAATGCTCTTTTTTTTTTATTTATTTTTAACATTTTCACCCTCTTTTTTTTTAATTCGCAAAAATATGGATTAGTTTGAAGAAGATTTCAAGTTTAATAATATTTTTGTAGAGTTTTCATCCCAAAAAAATTCATTTTTCTCTTTCCCACTAAAAATATTCGATATTTATAATCCGTGTTATTACAGAGCGGTTTTTCGTGCAGCTTTTTCCAGTGATTAAACGCGCGTAAATATAAGCTGATGCCGTTTTTATAGTTGCTAATTACGAATTCATAGGGATCAAGAGCTACGGCGAGTGAGCAGGAAGGAACAGACAATTTATTGCAATAAATGACAGCACTCAACAAATTAAAGAGCTGTCAATAGTTCAAGGAAAAAACGGAGATAAAGCAAACTTTCCTTAACACAAGAAAAATCTCGCAAGTTACTGACAAAGTGAACTTTTAAGATTGCGATTCCAAGACTCTTTCAGCTTATTCTTTAAACCCAACTTCTGAAGCAACTAATTCTATATATAAATTAGCGGACATTTATATAAATTGCGTGGCCTTTTGAAAATTTCGGGTAATATCTCTCCTAGGGCTTAGATAATACGTTTTCGAGTAACTTTCAGAAAGTCTCTAAGTCAGCCAGAAATTGCCAGTTGCTGTCAAGCCTTTCAGAAAATCTTTTGCCTGCTCGGGTTGTAATTGAGCTATGTTCGAAATTTAAACACTGATCGACTCCATTGCAAGATCTTCAACTTTGTATAACTTATAAGCACTTATAAACAAAATGCGCAGCCAAAAATTCGATTGAACTAAACATCACACTCAAATATTTTTAAAATGCATCAAATTAATAAATAAAAAAATACATATTCTTATAACAGTACATAAAATAATGCAATCAAATAAATACAAATATTTACAAAAATGTACAACAGTATAATAAATGCCTTTCATTAGGACCTGCAGATGCGGTTCGAAAATTCAAAGATTAGTACTTAAATGCTTTTAGCAAAACATCATCAACAACCGTCGGATTTCTTTCGGGTATTTGGAGTTTTTAGTGAAGGCACAAGCAAAATTCATACGGATATATTACGTCGAAGAGAAAAAGTCATTTTTCATTGTTATCTCTTTTATAGTTTTCGAACTACCACTGCTGTTTAAAAATGTTTCTTAGATTTTTGTTTCGTTTTCTGTCAATCTTATACTTCTCTCATATTTTCTTAGATATGCTTTTCTATGTGTTTTTTTATTTATAACTTCATTAATTTCAATATTTTTTTACATATACTAATTTTGCTTCCATTCCGCGTCTAGTGCTTTAAAAAAGCGTTTTAGGTGTGCATTCAACAAATTTACAAATTCTTCTTCTCTTCAAATACAGGTAAAAACAGGCATTATATTTTTTGCATTTTAAAATATTCGTTTCCGATAATTTCGATATGCGGACTAAAATATGAAGAGTTTTATACTTCCTTTCCCTGCTTCTAAATCTCTTCCACAGCTTTTAAAAATTGTATTCTATTTAACATGCTAAAAATATGTTTTTAAATAGCGACATAGTCCTGTCCATAATAAATAAACATCAGAAACACCAGAGCATGTTGCTGCCAATAAGATTATTTATTTCATATCTTAGATAATGTAAAAGTATATTTACCATCAACTTAAGAAAATGAATGCTTTAAAACATTCTTATATTTTCATTTTTTGACATTTTGCAAAGGGTTTATTTTATGCCATCAGTATGATTTAAAAAATATGCTTTTGATATTACATATTATATCGATTACAAAATTTATAACTGTAATTTTTCTGCATCCTAAATGCTCGAGGAACAAATATCCGGTGATTTAGAAATGGGAGAAATCTTTTGCTATAATTTGTGTTCTACACTCGAAGTAAAATCTCTGTGATGGTATAATGAAATTTTGCAGAGACGTTCTGATTGTTGTAATCTACGTATATTTATTTTTTAATTCTGTCCAAATAATAACACTCATTTTTTAATATTTTGATTTTTAATTTCAGTCAACAATCAAGATTTAGAATTATTTAAGAAAATATGATGTGGACAGCACATGGTTTCTTTGTAGGCCCGTAAAATTATACATATTTTTGCTTTAATGCATTTAAAGATATTTCTGTGAATTATAACTTAATTAACTGTTACCTCAAAGCAAGTTGAAAATGGCATCCAAAAATTGAAAATTTTTTTAATTAAAATTCCCGTTATAGTACACCCGCATGCAAAATTTCAACATTCCACACCTAATTGTTTTTGCATCATGTAAGATACATATGGACATACGTACGGTTATGAAAAAATATAATTTGAATCCATTTCACAGCCCGTTTTGTCCTTTAAATTAAAAAGTCCTTTAATTCTGTACATACGTAGAGATGTCACGCCAAAAAAAATAATCAAAATGGATATTTCCGTTCATTTGAGATCCAAAATATTCGCAATTACTGTACTTAGTACAATGATGTAAAAAATAAATTAATTTTTAAAAAAATGATTGCATAAAAATTAAATTTTTCTGCAATTATTTTAATTAATTAATTGATATTTAATGGCAAATATTCTGCCAGATGTTAGACAGTAGCCTAACATTTTTAAGCTATAAATTAACTTCTATAATTAAAGCTAAAAATTCTCCTAATAAAAATGCTGGTAAATTCTCCTAATAAAAATGCTGGAAATAACCTTCAATACCTTAGAATAGCTATAATAATAAAGATCTCTACGAATTCTGACATCTGATTCAAGTCCATCTCTGGTCTTCCAGAATCAAAAATATTCTGCCCAACTTATTTTTCCATGGGAAAGGGAAAAAAATCAATGTTTCGCTCGAAATGCTTAAAACTCACCTATATAAATAAGGTTATTCTAATGTTAAATTTTGCTTCACTTAAAGCTTCTTGACGAGGTCTGAACAGTACAGCAGAAATTCGGAGACGTTTTATCTTTGCAATTTAGGAGGACCATTAAAATGCAACAAACCAGAAGTTCATAAATATTAAGGTTCTATCGAAATTTTTATGCAACTGTATTTGCTCTGCAGTAATGTATATTGTATCCGTGAACATGTCATAAGCGCGCTATTCCCCTCACTATTTTCCTGCGCAGCAGCGTGACATTCAACATGGATCCGTGACTTGCGTGTGAGCCCTGAAATTCTCAATACTCGAGCTCCCACGTCTTGACTTTTTGACAGTGTTAGGATTTACTGACTTCGCGTGACTTACTGAGATAAAAGAGAAAAAGGGAATATTTTCCCAGTTTTTATTATTTTCGCGCCTTTTGGTTAATGTCTTTCTGGGGCTTACCGTATATTACGGTCACATGATTCTTAGAAATTTTAGTCCTGCTTGACATGTATCGCTTATGTTTCAAATGTTTATTCATTTTAATCTTTTTATGCAGATACTGCAAAAGGAAACTTTTTTTTGGTACCTTTTAAAAAATATCTGCCGTCCTCTCTTTACTTTTAATCCAAAATATGCTACCATAGGACTAGAAGATACTAGATAAGCTTGCATAAATTTATTGTGACAATATCTGGAACACGGATAGGCTAATACATTTAGCCAAGATTAAATTAAATGTATCAAGGTATAGTATGTATTTGTATATGTATTACATACGTACATTTGCTTATGTATGCATATATTCCTTGCAAAGAATATATCATAAACATGGCATATAATGCCTCTGATAAGTGTTCCAATCAACTCCTGATTTAGCGGGGTAATATTAGGAATGACATCAGCGATTAATTTTAAATCACGGCTAATCCGATGGCTAATCAGTTAAAAAAGCACAAGAAAAGTATTGTCATATTCGTACGGATTCGTAATGGATAGAATATACACAGAACCGATCATAGCTTGATGATATATATTTTTCCAAAAACATTTTACAGTTCTGGAACTTTTCACAATAGTACTCGTACAGCTCGTCGCAGTATGACAAAGCACAATCAGAAGTAATCACTTCGAACTACTAACGACCTTAAACATAAGACAATATTAAGAGCCTGAATTGCGTCAGGTCGTCTCAAAACTCTCAATACTCTGAGCTAAGCTCTAAACTAAACTTAAAACTGATGCTGCTAACGTTCTTATATAGTTTTACCTGGCCTCTTAGAAATCTCCAGAACATCCTTATTCCTTCGAAATTGCTGGAA